TAACAATTTATGAACCCGATTACTTCTATTCCTACATCTATGTCTGTATCTACCTTTAACAAGATAGTTAGACTGACAGTATCAATGAGGGAAATACTGAATTACTTTGTTCATTGGTAGTTGCAATACACTTATTTGCAAGATAATGAACAAGGCTTTGTTAATTTAACACCGGTATTATTGTTAAATAAATGTAAGTTTCAACAATAAATGTTTTGAAATGATTCCTCAGATATAAATATAAACAAACTCGCATAAAATATATATCACAGTATAATATGTATGTCATTTGAATTGTAACGAGATACAGACATGTACCTGACAGTAGAGGATTGTTCTACTGAAAATTTATTACGCCTTTGAAGTAAAAAATCATCCTGCAGATGCTCTCTCAAACTTGACCAAACACGTGCTTTTGTATACTAAACGCATAGTAAAACGTATCATTTGTTCAAATTTCACTGATGCGTTTGGTTGGACCAGAAAGGCATTATGGGTGTAAATTTAAATTTGTCACCATATTTCCAGGTCACTTCAATATGAGGTGATTTCCGTAGCTTGCTAAGGATCGATAACGTGTGGGAGAAGTCGGGTCAGTAGACCCCCCACCCCATCTCACTTGGTTCGATCGCTACCATGAAGAAGTAACAGACATTGCAGAGGAAGTTAGTCGGAACCCTTTCAGAACAAATGGCGGATTAAGAATAAACCTCAGTTTAGGGGAGAGCGGGGATACATTCTGTTTAACGAATTAAATTAATATAGAGTGAATAAAGGATAAGTAGATTATTTATGTTTAGTCAAAAAGTGTGTTAGCTTGGATAATTTAATAGATGTTAATGAAATAATTATGTTGGTTATGAAAAAATAAGACTTGTTGATTTCTCTTTTTTAATGTGAATGAGATTGAATCTCAGTTGTTAAATACTGCTTAAGGGAGACAAGTGTGAATCTACAAATATTCGAATTAAATCATGTATATGTAATTAAGGACTTTTTCTTATGAATAAGAAATATATGTTGAGGTCATTATGTTTTTCAATGCCTCCGCTAGGAGTCGAACCCGGGACCTCTGGCTTACTTGTCTTACGCTCTACCAAATGAGCTAAAGAGAAGTTCTCCCTAGTCGAGTCGTTAGGAAACGGCTAGTATTTTACCAGGGTGCATAATCATTAAACGAGGATATAAGGAACCAAATGCCTTATAGTGTAATTCGTTACTTTGATTGACACATATTGTATGGCACTGGCAATTACTGCTTGAATCAATTCGAGTGACGATTAAGTTTTTCTTCAAAGTTTAGGTAATATTTCCATACGTCTAGAAGTGTAGCAAGTTATTTTCAATATTTGCTACAAGGAGCCAGTCAGATATATCGTGTCTGAGAATATGGCACATTTTCACAACCAAACGGAGCAAGTTTCGGGTACTATTTCAGGGAAGCGTTTTTTTCTAAATATGTACACTATGACACAACTATTTCAAGGTCAACTGAATGGAGAAACTAAGGAAGAGTTTTAGACCTAAGAGAAGCGAGGCTTAAATTATTTGCCGATGCTGATCCGTCACAATAACGTTTATGTTAATCACTTGTAATTATGACATACACAAATATTTAATTGTTTAATATTTGATCTGTTTGCTTTTTAAATTATATACCTTTTTGAGTCGCACTCCTATGTTATAAAATAAATATAAAAAGCATGATAAAAAAGAAGACATCTCTGTTGTTTTGAAGGGAAATTATCTTTCTTTATTGTAGTAACTAGTAAAGCTGTGAGCGAGCTCACAAAGACATATACCCACCACTTGCCCTTGCAAGGTTTCTGGAACAAAAATTAAAGTTTCAAGGACCATCACTCAACGAAAAATAGTCTTACGACAAAAGCACATCACCATATAATGTAGTTTGACTGTGTAAAAAATATAAAAATAGCTCCATCAAACATTTAGGCAGGAGTTTCGCTTAACATATTTCCGGATTGATTTATAAAGTGTTAAGGGACATAACTTGAAACACGCACCTCTGCAAACTAAGGTGATAACTGTGAGACCAAATGCCCCGTGGTATAATGAAAATCTCCGCGTGGAAAAACAGAAACGTAGACAAGCAGAGAGACAGTGGCGACGGACCAAATTAACCGTTCACCAACTGATTTATAGAGAGCAATGTCGGCTAGTTGGTTCACTGCTCTTTCAGTCAAAGAAGGCTTATTATTCGGAAAAAATCGAAGAATGTGGCAAGGATAAAAGACAACTTTTTAGACTCACCAAAAACCTAATGGGACAGAAAGGTGAAATTATCCTACCAAGCTGTAATTCTGAAAAAGACTTAGCAAGCAAGTTCAGTGATTACTTTCTGAATAAAATCAGCTCAATCAGGAAAAATATTACCGAAGTGAACACCTCTGCTGACATTGACATCTCTGTCATGACTGCTGACATTGCATTTGATGGGGAACCATTGACAAAGCTCTCACCAACAACCCAGGACGAGTTGCGCAACATTATCATGACCTCGCAATCGAAGTCCTGTGAGCTTGATCCACTGCCTACAGACCTATTAAAGCAATGTCTTGAAGCACTGCTTCCTTTGATTACCGCAATCATGAATAAATCATTGGTTGAGTCAAAGGTTCCATTATGTTTCAAGAAGGCACATGTCAGACCATTGTTAAAAAAGCCTGGAATGGACAAGGAGGAGTTGAAAAACTACCGCCCAGTTTCAAATCTGCCTTTTCTGTCTAAGATCTTGGAGAAGGTTGTGTCCCGGCGTTTAGAGGTTCATCTCCATGCAAACAGTCTCCATGACAACATGCAATCGGCCTACCGCATGGGACACTCTACTGAGACGGCCCTCCTACGTGTACATAGTGATATAGCTTCTGCATTGGATAACAAGTGCAGAGCGGTGCTTGTCATGCTGGACTTGTCAGCTGCATTTGACGTCATCGACCATGGCATACTTTATAAACGTCTGGAATACTCTTATGGAGTGACTGATACCGCACTATGCTGGATACAGTCATACCTGAGTGAACGACGACAGTGTGTTGCCATTGGAGTTGCCACCTCACATGACAAAGTACTAGATTTCAGGGTTCCTCAAGGGTCGGTGTTAGGACCACGAAAATATTGTATGTACTCCAAACCGATTGGAGAGATTTGTCGTCGCCATAGCCTTCGCTATCATTGCTATGCTGATGACACACAAATTTACATGGTCATAAAACCACAGGACAGTTGGAATACAGTCTCAGAAAGTCTGGAAGCTTGTCTGACAGATATCAGTATCTGGATGAACGCCAACATGCTTAAACTTAATCAGGAAAAGACGGAACTAATCGTCTTTTCCCCAAAGTGTCAGCAAACAATGGCTCTCCAGCTCAAGGTTGGTGCCAGAACTATTGAGACTGTTCCAGCTGTTAAAAACCTAGGGGTATACTTTGACAGTTCTCTGAACATGGAGAAACAAGTGAACGCTATTGCCAAATCCTGTTACTACCAGATCAGGAACATCGGCTGTATTCGGCAGTTTCTAACTGCAGATGCATGCAAGATTTTGGTGCATTCACTTGTTACCTCTCGGTTGGATTATGGTAACGCCCTGCTCTGTGGTATATCTGACAAACTAACTAGTCGTCTGCAGAGGGTCCAGAACACTGCAGCACGGCTAGTTACTCGTACTCGAAAGAGAGAGCACATCACACCTGCGCTTTATTCGTTGCACTGGTTACCTGTACGATACAGGTCGCAGTACAAAATTCTGGTATACACATACAAGGCACTGAATAAAACAGCTCCTCAGTACCTACAGGAGCTTGTAACCCTGTATCAGCCGTCAAGATCACTGCGGTCGGAGTCAGAATCTTTGTTGTGTGTTCCCAAATCTCGTACTGTGACCTACGGAAACAGATGCTTTGGGAGGGTTTCGGCTACGTTGTGGAATAGCTTACCATCTGCTATTAGGAAGTCAAATACCCTGGCCAAGTTCAAGAGGGACATAAAAACTCACCTCTTCACGTCTGCATTTTAGAATCTTTGCAAAGACGTCATGTAAATACCACCCTTTTATTTGTTCAATTATGTGCACATTGCTTGTTAAATTTATGAAAGTGATTGCAAGCCTTTGTTGTTTGTTTTCACAATTATAACCATTACTATTATCCATATGTTGTAAAGCGCCTTAGAGTAATTTTACAAATTATATAGGGCGCTATATAAATGTTGTATATTATTATTATTATTATTATTATAACTCTAGGAAAATAGTGGACTCGCAATTTCCTTCCTTCAGGCTACATATGATTTATGGTTAAGGAGGAGATGCTCTTACAAGGAGCATGGACGGATGGACTTCGTTTACGTACATGTAGAATAAACACATGAAGATTGTTAGCAAGGAATACAATTGCGATAATTTACCATTATAGAGGAATTCTATTTAACTTTCTTGTTCAAATGATTACTTTGTTAAAAAGGTCACATACTTTAAGAAGATAATAAAACGTTTTTTTTTAAGCCACATGACAGGAGAGTTATGCAACATAGCTTTGTGACATATCATGCCAGGAGACTTTGTTGCATAAAAAATATTAATAATTTCATCTAGATACATTTCGATTTGTTTGGTCAGGAAATAGTTTCCCATTTTACCGGCCAAAAGTTCAAAATGTAATTATGATACAGTAGATGTTATCGATCACAACACACAGACAATAATAATTTCTCATCGATGGTGTTAAAGTAAACCTAATCCGTGATGTTCTGTTATATGAAGGATATTCAGAGGTAGCGGTAATTATCTGCTTATGGCAATTTTCACACTTATTTATTTTTCGGTTTGTTTCGGGTCAAGAGTGGAAAATTCTGTTGATCATTAAATTAGACGGTTTTTTTTTAACTTGTAGACTGAAGGATATGATTAGGCTTTCTTTGACTTTTATTCAGTTTTTTCCTCCATTGCCATTTTTAAAGAGTTCACCTATACAGACACTTACAGTGTTGGTGATTGCTTTTGTTGTCTAGGTACCTTTTCTTTGGTTATGTCTGTGCCTCTTCCTTTCATGTCTTTTGTTTTTTTCTGCAACATGATCGCATGTTATAAAAAAATGTCCAAACGCTATATATGGTGAAGTGAATTTAACATTTAGTATATTCCTGATTAGTCGTGTTTTGGTAATTCACACGAAATAATTATTTTCATGTTAAGGAGGGGAAGTATAATTTTTTCGACAGTCAAACCAAGACGTGTCGTACACATGTGGCTTGAATTCATTTTGAAGACATGGGACCATTGGTACGAGGCTTTTCGCTATCTTTAATAAAAATACTTTTGAACACGCAGTACAATCCATCTTACCCTATATTTATTCCCACTTTGTAATACATTTTTTCTATACTTACTATCTCACTGCTAACAGCATCCACAACCGATCGCTTCAGTGTCCGATATTTCAGTTGTTTTAGAACCATTATTTTCCAATTTTTTGCTATTTCAGATTCAAGGTTGAATAACATACTTTCAACCTTTCCCACAATCTTGTCCGTCCGCTCAGAATAAAAAAAAAAGATCAACGACACTCATTTCATCAAACAAAAATGATTTTGTGGTGTGTAACACAAAAAATGACAGACTGAGATGGATCAGAACTCTTCTTATCAGTTTTGAAAATTCCAATGACCGATTTGATATGACAAGCAAAGTGTTTATGCATTGTTATATGTAAAGTTCTGGTTTTCTGTAAAAAAAATCATGAAGATATTCGTTTTTATTGTGGAATCATTTTTATGATGTATATATAATTCTCGATGGTAATAAATCAGTTAATGAAAACCTGAATCAAGATGATACCAAACCCTTTATTGTGGAATCGTTTTTATGAAATGTTTAACAGGGCGTTCTTTTCTCCTGTCGTTAACTCTCCAGGAACACGAGGCTATTGTTTTTGCAACAGGGTATCGCCTTCACAATGCAGTTGTGATGTTACAGTTAGTATCATAAGCAATTGCATACACTTAATTCACTTTTTAGTGCCGATTATTTGAATGATAAAAGAGATTACTGGCGTCAACGAAATAAGATATTAACAAAGAAAATTAAAATAGGTCCCTTGAAAAATTAACAGGAGAATAATACCATCTATCCCGAAAGGTTAGCTACAATTTCTTCATTGCTGATATCTACAACGCAAAAACAGGAAAATATCCAAATATTATCACGTCCTTAAAGTGCGAACCTTAGTACTGAGAACAGATTTACAAGGCAAATTAATGAGTCGAATCAAAAGTATCAACCTTCATATAGCACCAGAGATTGAAATTCAAACGAAGCAGGTCCGTATCTTAAAAAAAATCTGGTAAGCTACAACTACTCCAATGTTGATATCTACAACGCAAATACAAGAAAATATCCAAGTATTATCACGTCCTAAAAGTGCGAGCATTGGTACTGAGAATAACTTTACAAGGCGATTGGAATCAAAAGTATCAATCTTCATTTAGCATCAGATATTGAAATTCAAACGACGCAGGTCCGTATCTTAATTAACAATCGGTATTAAATGTACTGATTATTGATTATACAGAAGCAACGTTAGTTAATATTTCGTCTTCCGAATTAATAAGGTTTTCCTTTGTTAGCACGCAAACTTTAACACTGGTAAAGAACAGCAATCAAATTATTTCAAAGCTACTTTGTCTGCCGATCATGTAGATCGTTGAGGATGATTTGGTAATTTTGGTCAAGATGTACCTCTTTCTGTATGAATTCCATAACGGGTTGTCAGCTGTAATGTTTTTAATGTTGGTCCTAAAAGATTTTGAAAGTTAATCCAATTCAACGTACTCTGATTTTTTCATTTGCTGGCATAGCTTTCTTCAAAGAACATCAGTATCTTGAAACTCACATTCTAACATATAATTCAGGATTTTGAACAGTTTGTGTCTGTCATGAATAGCTACGACAGCTTAAGTTTATTTTTTTGCTATATTCAGGTAGCGTTGGCTTGATGTTGAAAAGCCTGAAACTCGTCGATGACCAATCAGAAAACAAAACAATGCTTAATTGTAGGGTACAATGTTTTGGTAAATACTTTTTTGAAATAGCATTCTTAATCAAAGCAGTGTATTAATATCTAACCATGTCTATATTTTATTTCTACTTTTATGAAAGAACAAAACAAATATAATGGGAAAATATATATCAAAACAGCTTCTTTTTGGAATGCTGAAAGGAAATAATGGGAAAAGACATCTCATATTTCACGATTATTATACTCTTATAAGTATGGACATAAAAAATATATTTCCGGGAAAGCGTTATTTTATTGTGTTTAAGTATGAAAGATATATCTCTGGTGACGTTATACTTGTCTAATTTTGAACAGGATTGCACAGGAATACTTGCCAACATGCCTTACTCGATTTGATTGTTGTTTTGTTAAGAATAACTAATTGTTACACTGTTAATGTTGGAGCTCCGTACATATGGTTTATATGTCATTTTTGTTTATCCTTTTGACCGCAGTGTTAAGTTATGATAACAATTAATATGAAATATATGTGATATGTAATGTTTTTATAATACCTGATCGACGTATTTCGTAATATTCGTCCAGGATTTCCAAATTTCCTTTTTTGCCAGAAGGTCTTTGCGAGAGTAATCCATTAAATATTGTTCCAACTCTGTTAGTGCAGCAGGTAAGTCCTTGCTAAAAGTATGACATGTGTACAATCATTACAAAATGTTATTGATGTAACGAACAATAAACTTCAGAGATATGTCAAACCATTTACCCCCAAAGATTCTAATACACATTAGCATATTGTATTTCAAAAACAGTGAGTTTAATTTCAAAATTCTCCTCAAAATTTCAAAATTCATAACCCCCTACCCCGATAAAAACAGGTAGTTTATGAATTAAAACAATTATTCGAGTAGATTTAAGTAGATAATGTTTAAAATGATAATGATTAACTTAATAATGCTGTTTGATCCCAATGACGCTTCTTTATTTTCTTAAAAAAAACGTCATCCTTATAACTTATGCCAATAACATATATAGAGTTATTGGTTAAGGTCTTTTAATTGACCTTGGTATTTTAGAGAGTTAATCACATTATACGTAGAAAAGGTGAACTCAGTTAAAAAAGGTTATTCGAATCGCTAGCTAGTAGTCCAAATCATCTCTATACTATTGAACTAATAAGGAAAATTCCAACTGGCCGAGTTAGTACCAGACGACTACGTGATAAATTGATAAGACATACTTCCAATCTATAATGATAGCAAAAAACACTCTTGACGACGGCGGTAAACAGTATTTATAGTGCGAGTAACATTTAGGGAAGTTTTATGCAAATTACCCTACCAGATGTAAATGAAAAGAGAGAATGATTATCTTTATGATGCATACCGATTTAGTGATTGAATAGCTTTTCTGTGAACACTATATATAAGTCAGCGTTTCAAGTATATTTCGTTCTCTTTGTTTTATGAATGACTTTTTTCTTTAATATACAGTTATAAAATCAGCCAATTGGGTTGAACAGAAAACGTTCATCATACTAGCTGATCAATAACTAAAAGCTTCAGTTAATGAACTCTGTTTTAAAAGTATTGGTAGTTAAAAAGACCTTTCAACTACCCATACTCGTTTTCTCAAGAAGTTGACAATACTTTTTGATAATCAAATTTAAATAAAATTCGACCCTTTTTACCAGTCTTGTTGACATTTGATAACCATATTAGCTACAAGCGAGTTATTCTATAAAAACATAACTAGGTCGATCTATCGTTTATATTTCTATCTATTAAAGAATGTTCGAAGAAGTATAGCAATATCGCAGATTTAAGATCACACCTAAAGGAAATATAAGCTATCTGGATTACGGCCAAACTATTGCATGATTGGTGTGTTGTATTCGATACATTTAAACAACGAGAAAATCTGAAAAAAATACCATTACATAATAGGGATCTCACAAACGTAAAATATCAGCGCTAGAGTTTATTCTGATTTGTATTCACTACACCATATACATGTATCAACGGTTATATCCCGCATAATGAAAACAATATCACCAAATGCGCCCTCTGGGAAATCCCCTTATCGTATACGTTTTCTTCATAAATTGGTTACACTGTATATTAACATAAATGCTTCCACAACACGTGAGCACTAGAGAGTGCTATACGAAGATTAAGCTAGTTAAACGTATAGATATCATGACAAACTGTCGTGGGTACATGATGATAAATACTTACGTCGCCATTTTGATAGATTCAATTAAACTTCCTCATCGTGGTTCGGAGAATTGTGTGCATGTAGTCATAATAAATGTGTAATCAATCGGTGACGGGTTTTTAAATATAGACCGGTGGGTTTAAAATTCTTGTCACACGATCGAGATAAGCGCGTTTGACGGTTGTTACCTTTAAGTTCTCTTACAGGTAAAGCTAATGCTATTTACGGCAACATTACCTTGATATAGATAACAGGGGATATCTCTTTTTCAGACAGATACCTTAGCTTACGCTAATCACTATAGACTCAAATAATCAATACAACACCGGTATAACCTCGTCATGCTCTAAAATTGCTGCTTTATTCGAAGACACTGCTCGTCAATTCCACTGGTGTCGTTGGATTCGGATATTATATGAAATTAAACTCAATCGAGTGAAACATATAAAGATGGTACGATACATTATACTTTAAATGATTAATAATGATTAGTCAACTTGACAAATACTATAAACAACTAATGCGTTTAAAATTTCAACTAAATTAATCGACAACCCCGTTGAAAAATATCATCTTCATTTTTACTAATGATTATCTTGAACAGTCCAGTCCTGACCACTTATTGAATCATGCTTGAACTGTTTAATACACATTTAAATTGAATATGCCTCCCTGCATCGTCGTAAAGAACACAGACTTAAGTCATAGTTCAATATTAAGATCGTCTATCTAGCTTTCATTATATGGTCACATTCGACCTCTGGGTAACTTTCGTTTCATTTTCACGTTTTAAGTACCCAATGTTACGTTTGGGGACTATTGATCTCTGACCTAGCCATAACCTAGTAGTAGAAATTAATCTACCACGGTTGAGATAACATGCAAAATTGAAGACAAATTTCCTGCTTTAATAAAACGTTGTACATTTGATCATTATAAACGTTTAAACGGGCACCATTCGCACTGTTTCTCCAGATATTTATAAGCATATGGCACTGCCACTATATAACCTTGCCACATCCAAATTGCTGATGTCATCATTATTATGACGTCATAATTGTTCCGTTGGTTGCAACCGACCTCTCTTGACAGATGGCTATTCTATTCAGATAACAAGCATATACGATAATTATATCATCTGAAATGCATTCTGAATAATTATAAGCGCTATTGATTTGTTTTTCTGAGATAAAAATATTCCCCAAAAGTAATCATAAGTATTATACTGCTTTCTGTTGTCATTCAAAGGCAATGTGATACACATCCAACATAACGTCACAGTGCGTTTCATTGAAATTGCATTTATCTAATTGACATTTGTCTTGTCTTTGCCACTGTATGCATAAAGAAAGCAGATCAATGTTGAAATGTTCCGTTAAATTTGTGATTTTGATTTTCACTCTTTTGGCCTTCCGTAAAGCTTATGAGTTATTTATAGACATATTGGCCTCATGGTGCAGTAAAGTGTTCATTTCATTTTAATTTTCTTCATCAACAACATATTTTTTTAAGAATGTGTTTTCTTAATGATTGAACGATCTCGATCACCTGGTCGGAAATGTTCAATCAGCAAATTATTTTTATTGTCTTTGAACCCTTGAGCTGTCAATATGAATACAACCTAATGTAAAGGTCCCGTTAATACCATCGGTCATATATTAATGAACTATTTTTCTTTCCTCGGAAATAAGGAATCATTAGAATACTGGCAATGTCAACAGTGAACTGAAGATATGTGCAGCTCATGTAAATTTCAGATGCCTTTAAGGTCTTGTTGTCTGATATGTATTGAAGCATCTAGGGCAAAATCTATATATTTTTTTTTTTAATATTTTCCCCTGAATGTCATTATAATTTACTCTGAACTAAATAATCATTAAGATAAAGGCAATGTCTACAGGCAACTGGCCATATGTGCATCTCATATCCATTTCAGATGCCTTTAGGATCTTGCTGTTTGTTTTGTAATGACGCATCCAAGGCAAACTATTAGTTTGATTTTCTTAATATTGTCACCTGAATGTCAATCGAGTTCTGTCCGAAATTTCCAGTTTCAGTCCCAACTAACAAGATAAGAGTGCGTTATTGTAACCATGATGACACCAATACGATGGCCGATAGCGGCCGTCACATCTTATATCGAATATGTATATGCTTTGTACAGGTACATGTTTTAAAAATAGTACATGTACACATCTTATACCTTATACCGATTAACCGATTCCTTTCGTGATAAGACCCTGTCCGAAACAAAGGTGAAATAAAGCAGACGCATTCTAGTTTATTCGTAGATTTTGTTAAGTATATTAACCGGTTTATTTCAGAGGACAAGTTGAGTAATTATAGCTGTTTGATTTTTTGATAGAAAAGTAAAACTTCACAGAAGAGCCAAATGCTTATATATTTTAAGAATATGCGGAAGGTAAATGTCATGTGTTGACTTTATATAGGAGGTATATGTACTTTTTATATGAGATAAATGTCCTGTGATGACTTTTTATAGGAGGTACATGTGATGTGTCGCCTTTATACAGAAGGTATATATCATGTGTTGACCTTACTTAAAAGGTATATATCCTGTGTTGACCCTATATAGGAGGTATATATCCCGTGTTTCCGTTATTTTTTGCTATTAATGACATTAATGTGCTGATACTGGCGATATCATTTGGTATACTTTATAGAAATATGTGTTAATCAAGATAATAACACTGCATGGTCTGCCATCACTAACTGTTTTGACATATATGTAAAGTATTTAGCTGTCTAACCAATTCAGGATGCAAAAGAAATTCGACGAACTACTCAATAAATTATGATTAACCCCGGCTGGTTTGTTTCACATCTGTAGTTTTCTCCTATACGGATTCAGCACAGGATATACACCTTCTGTATTAAGTAAACACAGTACATTTACCTCCTTCATGAAGTCACTACAGTGCATTTATAAGTTTTATAGTGATTTATAGATTCAGCCATTACGGAGAACTATATCCTAAACCATTACAATATTAAGTCATGCACTATTCTTGAAGATGTATCATTTCCTCTTCTTTCTTATGATTCGTCCTCCAACGCATCGATAAATATATGCCACTGTATCAACAGGACTAAACTCACCAGGAGTATCTGCTCTTAGATAAATTTACAAATGAATTGTGACTAGAGTCAGGCTTTGTGTAAATCTTTTACTCTTATAAAAGCCAGGCTCACTTTCCCGTGGACGGTGATCGTATTCAATATTGACAAAGAATTTTCAGCTATAGTTAAATTATATAATTTAGCTAATAAGTAAAATGTTAAATAGCATAAATGTGATGAGAAGATATACTTTACAACGAATGTATCTATTTCGTAGAATAATATATAGTAATATAAATAATTAATATAAATATCACCAAAGTGCTCAAGTATGATCTAACTCCTCATAGAAGTTTTCAAGATATAGAGGTCTTAATGACATTCATTGTTTTGAATAACAAAATGTAAATACGATTTCCTTAGTGTCAATTAATGAATAAATTCAATTTATTAAAGATACCCAGGCAGTATGAACATCGCAACAAATTTCAACATGAAAAAGGTTATTTTTATGAGTGAAACTCAGCATAAATCCTATAGAAATTCTCATAGAACTTACAGAAGTACACATAGAAAGTCATTTAATGCATGACACCCGCATTTGAAGTGATGAAACTGCCTTGTTATTCTGTAGTGAAAATTATGAAGTGACAGAAAAAAACACTATTCTGTGCCCGGTGTAAAGAATTGAACTGGAAGACTGGCAAACAACGCTCTGATCGAATTTTGCTTTGACATCATAGTTATTCTTTTGAAAATATTTACCCACTGTGAAAAATATTCAGTATTAGATCAAAATAATCTAAACAACACCTTTCTAACATATTAAATAATTTCTGCTTTTTAAAATAGTAATGCAGTTTCACAAAACTCGAACTAAATTCTTAATTTGAATAAAAAAAATACTAAGTAACATTTTCCCAACAAAGTAACCGTTGAAACACGATGCACGAAGTCACTAGGCGATATAAGTTTGTTTTTTAAGCAGGGTGCCTAAACAACAAACAAATATGTCACATCCATTAGTATGCGAATATGTCTTGGTAATAATCTGGTTTTAATTAATTCGTTTACACTTTTTCTGTAGAAATGCCAGGGTTGCATCTTCCATATTGTACTTTGAAGGTAGTTTCTCCTTATCTGGCTACTGGTTGTACGGTTCCTTTCCTCAGCAATGGACCGTCCTTGTAGAGTAGCATAGCTGGCCAGACAACGTAATCCACTGTGTCACCTGATCTAGTGTATGCCTGGAACATGTCAAAGCGAATTTGCTTCTCTTTGCTGACATCGGGCCATAGGAGAAACAGTCTTGGATGGTGTGTAACCATGCTCCAGCATATCTCTATACACTTTTCTGTGTACGGCAATACCAGCTTTGATTTGTCCTTCAGGGACTTGTGCCTTGCAAGACTTGCTTTCACGATCTTGAATGAAATAATTTTGTAACACAATATATCATAATCGCCTTCGTATAAAGTTCCGTTACACAAGTATGCTATTCTTAGTATATGCTATCTTATCTTTGATATATTAACTTAACACGAAACAGTAACTTATCATGCTTTTCAGATACTCTCATTTTTTCCTTATGTGTCAAACATTGTTCTTATCTTGTTGTTCTAAAGTTAATAAATTAAATCTTTCATATTTTCAATACACTTGGACGGACTCTTATGCGTACATGTATGAACTCATAGTTTTGATGCAAAAAGATAACAACAGACACTGTCTGTAGAGACAGCAAAACCTAAGGCAATAACCTTATAATTGAATTAACATAAACTTCTTGTGACTGTGACTTGAAGCAACTTCAAGATAGGGCAGATTCAAACGTTAGTATTTTGTTATCGAATTTCAAAAAGGAAACTTGATGTGAAAGATAAAATTCTGGTATTGTATTTTAAATTCGCTTAAAATGATAATGGTCAATGATTCCAACTACCATAATAATATAATACTCACATCAACTGCAGCCCTCCTTGTAAAAACAGAAGCGCCATGTTGTGCATCGATCAGATTGCGTTTGATTGCCTCTGATCCCTCTGGTAGTTTTCCCTGAATAATGTGTATTGACCAGTTTAGGTTTGAATAAACTGTTGTTTTGCTAAAAATAACAATCTGCATAAAAACACACTCAAAATGTTTACTTAAAATGTCCTTGTTACCATAATTTGTATATGTTACCTGTTGTGTATTGTGTGTTTGAAAACTGCAGCAAACCATTTCAAGATGGGTTAAATTTTTGGCAGCGATCATTTCACATTCCCTGTAACAAAACTTGAGAAAAAAACTTGATCAGCAAGAAACTTTTTTCACAGAATAATAATAACTTTGCTCCGTTAATATTATTTGACGAAATTAAAAAATAACCTTTCGTAGAAATATAAACATTTAAAGTTAAATAATTTATAAAAACGAAAAAAGAAATTTCAAAATGTTTTTTTGAATAACGTAAAGAAGGAAGAGCATCCGTTTATTTGAGATACAGTATGAACATATTTCGCAACATCATGTAAACTATCTTGATTCAATTTATGTTTGATATTGCAACATACTTCAAAACTTCCAAATAAATGAGAAATAGAAAATTATCAGTTCACATTTTTTTTTGATATTCTCGAAGGTCACGAAATAATAGAATAATTCATTTTAAGGTCTAGTTATTAACCTGTAGCATTTCCAACAGGACTTCTATACATGCACGGTCCTGTTTTTCCACTTTTTTGGGATTCATTTTATCTATGGCGTCCGTCCATTCGTTGTCGTAAAGTTCGCCGTACTTCACCGCCAGCTTCTGTGGACGGTTTGGGTCGCTTAAGTCTGTGATCGCTGGATTATTGTGCGTTAGTTTGTCTCCAGCCATCTTGCTCATTCTGTTATTTGAAAAAGATAGTATGCTTTTACGATGTATGTATGAATGTGTATATCGATAGCAGAATTTCCAATAACATCAAATGCGTTTAATGTAACGGTTTCTGACGTATATGTTGTATTTGATGCGTTGACTTCTAGATGACGATACAATGCTGACCAAAAATAATTTCTATAACTTACAGATTTATTTAATATTGATTTTGTAACGAAGATACACATTTTACATAGTTTTGATTTGTGAAAGAAAATGATATTTTGACAAATACTTGATTAAAAAGCTATTCGTTCAACAGATCTTACATAGACACACAATAAATGTGACTTCACCTTGTCAACAGCCCTTCCTTTTCTTCTTTAACACTGTGAAGTTCTTGATTTAAACTCTGAATCTTGTCTTCCAATTTCATCAAATGTTGATCATACTTTCCCTTCAAGTCCTGTAGTATAGATTCGTAATGTTTCCTATCATTTTCATGAGTTCTATCGTAGTCTTCGTAGTCTTGTGTTTGTCTCTCATGCTGAATTTTCCTCTGTTGGGATGGAGTCTCTAGTTCAGTGGTTGCAGTCTCTGGTCGTGTAGATGATACCTCCGCTTTAACTATTGTGTTTCTCTCCGGATTATCTGTTAACCTGCATGTATATAAAGATATAAATCATAAGTAACTTGATCAACTGCAAAAAGTATAAACACCTACTTATTAGTGAAAATGTATGTGAGGTTTGCACGCTAGTTTTATAGCATTTCATTTTCGACAGGTTTACCAAGCATGCTTATTTATAGTATATTTATAGTAAACAACTTCCTTTTTAATCGATAGAAAACCGTACAGCTTCTCATAAGCCCTGTTATCCGTATGTAAGACACACGTTGCTCATCTAGAAGCGTAAAATAATAGAATATCTCACCCTTTTTCCCACTGGGATTGAGATTGGGGAATCTCAACCCAAGGGGAAGACTAAGTTACCAAACATAAGGCTTTGACGAGATAACTTATATTTCCAATATCACCTCAAAGGGTTAATTGTTTTTTTGTCTCTTTCCCTGTTTCCTCATTGTGTATCATATACAAATGTAATGTTAAGGTTACAGGCTAAATTTAGGGTGGTTGACGTGACGTCATTGTAACGTTGAACTGACGTCATACAATTGTTATGAATAGGGGAATCCCCCCTTCTCAAACCTTGGGTGAGACAAGGATTTATCTTACCCTGGATAGATTTATCCTTACTTTTACCGGTGTGATATTTTTCTGTCTCACTCTAAGGTTGAGACAAGCTACACGTGCTCTTTGCACGTTCTCAACAATATACGTGTCGTTTATGACGTGACCCGGAAGAAGAACTGCTTTTATGAGATCACACACATACGCAAGTTCGTCTGCTAATCTTGCCATGTTTAAATTTGACATAAAAAAACGGGATTGTTTTTAAAATGTTTAAAGTCGGTGATCTGGTAAATGTTGGATCAGAACCTATGCTATGTTCAAAGTACGTCTGTGTGATACTTGTGAAGTTGTGAGTGCCAGCAAACACCAATTTGTGAAAGGTTTGGCAGACGATGCATTTGTCTTTTCTGACATGTTTAATGCAGAATTAGAATCCGTTTTTATAAATACAGATATCAATGAGCCCAAAATTATTTTTCACCCTGTATCTGCCCCCTTTTTGATCACCAGAAGTGTAATTACTGCTTCGAATTCGCCTCCCGTTGCCGACACACATGTGGGCGACGAAGACAACACACGCGTACCGCCATGAGGCTGTAAACACATATATGAACAAGAACAAGAACAGTACATTCATACGTATGGAAGATGAAGGTTTAGCAGATTTAGCAGACTTCATTACAGAAAATGAAAACAAAAATACTCTCAGAAAAACCCTGTCCTATATCAACCTGCTGAGATCATTTCTGAAAACAAACGGAAAACCGTGACATTCATCAAATTCCAGGCAATGAACTTGATAATTTACTTTCCAAATTATTCGTCTGTGACAGACAAAAAGAAGGTTCGCAATATCAATAAGTTACTCGAGGGGACATCTGGGTTCTATTGAACAGTATTTGAAGCGACATAAATAAGGAACAAGTCTGATTACCGGATACACATTTGCTAGTACGCGTGATGCTCTTAGGTGTAAAGAAAAGGATTGAAAAAAACAGGTTTGGGCAACAAACCAATGACCGCGGATAGAATAAATGACAACGACATAGACTAAGTGTATAAATGTGGTCAATTTGGGAATGACTCTCCTCGCAGTTTGCTAGACACGTTATTGCTGAACAATAAACTACACTTTGGAATTAGGGGAGAGGAGCATAGGGCCGTGTGCTGGGGACATTGAATTATGTTTCGATGGAGTTCTTATCATACAATGAAAGACAAACAAACAAGGACGGGAGTTGACATAACAAATATCAGGGATAGCAAGCCAACGATGTACGCCACACCGGACAACCCAGAACGATGCCCGGTACTGGCATATAAAGTATTCTCCAACACACGTCCGGCAAACTTTTCAAATCATGATCATCCTTTCTACCTATCTACGGTAACAAATAAAACAAAACCAGGTGAAAATGAGCAATTGTGAAAATGAGATGTTGTTGGAAACGGGAATTCCCGACACACAAGCAGTTCACATAACGGGACATAAAAACCCACAGTCACTAACCAACTATCGCTTATTGAGGAATCTCCAAAAACAAAATATGACAGCTTTCTTGACTAATAATCAACCTGTTTCCGATGTTTCTAACATTAGATGTGTTCCCCCAAATTCATACTCCACGCGGCCGCCAATTTCAAGCACTCTAACTTCCTCTGAGAATTACTCCAATTTGACACAACAACACAACAGCGTCTCCTTGTGTGATACAAATACATTAGCATCCACGATTTGTCATGGATGCACTATAGAAGGTGATACCTTTAATATAAATATCCAACCATCATCAAAGAAGAAAATTCGAAACAAGCGCTGTGTACGTGTCATCCTGTCGGATACAGACAGTGATTAGTGAATGGACTCAAAATGAGAGACTGGGAATCACGTGACATGTTTGACACTGCAAAACTTTCTCATAAACCAATTTGAAATGCAAATATATTTTTAACTTAAACTTAATATATTTCTTACTCATAAATAAAAACATAGTCGAATATAAGAAAATATATATTTTGTGGGATGTCCTATTAATACTGTATGTATGCGTCATTCCCATCGGGAAGATGCTTAAGTTAACTTCTTAACCCTTTGATTTTAGCGTTGCCCGCCTAAACGATGGAATTTATTTTTTAAATGTATGTGTACAGCGAAATAGCCAAACAGAGCAAAATGACCGAGTTTTAGTATATTGTCTTCATTTTAACAGCAGATGCTGAAATGTAATTCTTTATTTTGTTTGCATACTGTATCTAATGCCAAATTGATGGGTGCAATCACATATGTGTGTAAATGTTCAAGATGAAGACGGCACACTGTGGTAATGGCACGGTTCATAATATACACACAAATCAGTTATTTTTGTTTGATCGAAATTCGCCATAATCATATATTTTCAGTGTCTTGCAAGATATTTCGTCCTTCTTCATTTCTATGATTTTTTTATATGTTTACTTTCCTTTTTAATCATGTTTGTTTCCCCCATCCAAATTATAAATTCGTTGTTTAGAAGAAAATTCTGATACCCGGAAAGCCAGGAACAGGGTGTACGTAAGTAAACAGCAGTTTGTGACTAAAAGGTTCGTTTTTATAAAAATATCGAATATAAATATCGAATATAAATATAAGGCAGATGTTATGTCATAGTCACAGTGACAACATTGCAGCCAAACGGTGCCTGGGAATTTCATGGCTTGGTAGAGTAAATCGCTCTGGCTTTACACCAGACATCTGTCTACTTGTGTGTCTGTAAACGTGTAAAAAGGGTGCGCATCTCAGTCCGTTAACATTTTGCAAACCATGTTTTGTGCTATTTATTCCTATTCCCTAATAAATGTATGCTATTCTGATTAGCTAAGAATAAACAAAAATCTTACGAATAAGTATATTCCATTAGACTTATTCACTTACTCTTTAAATTTCTCTCTGACAGCAAAAATCTGAGTCTGTGCTTCTGCATATGTCAGTGTGTGTTCCTCAGTCAGCTGGTGATCTTTCTGTATATCTGGTGGTTTGGCATCAGCTCTGCCATTCAAAACACCATGCAGCCATTCGATCAGTTGACACACTCTGGTAAGCGCTATGGAAGCACTGTCATCCCCTTTTCTGAAATAGTACACTATATAGTTGATATTATAAGTTAAGATCTAAAGTGCTATGCAGGGCATTCCGTTATCTCCTTCTTTTCAAAAGTAGATTAGATAAATTATGATTTCGGCATTTTGGCCCCTAGTAACAGCGATGAATCTTAGAAGGATGAAATAGCTATATGATATATGATGCTGTGCAAGCAGTTTTGAATATTGTATCTATTTTCAAATTTTTAAATGTGTAATCATTTGTGTGTGTGTGAGAGAGAGATAGAGAGGCGGGGGGGGGGGGGGGGGGGNGTCATCTGTCAAACACTGCACCACTCGACAGTGGATAGCGCACTTGCCTTTCCCCAAGGCGGCCGAGGTTCGATTCCCCGATCGGACGTGAAAAGGTTGGGGTCACCTGCCCGGCAATGTGGGTTTTCTCCGAGTACTCCGGTTTCCTCCCACACTAAGACCCCCCCACGCGCTAACATCCGGGCCAACAAGAGTGATTAATGTAAGTTGAAATAACTTGTTTCAAAATTGTTGTAAAATAAATAATATTTATATTTATTTAAACACTCGTTAAAATATGTATTACTGATACATGTATATGGATTGAATCATATGATTCAATTAAATACTGAGATACACTTAAGTTAAATGAATAGGCAGTTAAAATGTCAGAAGTAATAGTTGAAATGGATGCGTATATTGGCATATTATAAAATATATGTTCGTCTCGTTATAATTGTTCAAGTGTGCTCCCTCTCTCGGTCTGTGTATATCATGTCTACCACGGCATGTACTTACTGCGGTAAAGGTTGATTGGTTTGTTTAGTGACTTGCACCTTCGTTACTTGTTTCCCTTTAGCTTCAAGTGATTGTCCTTGAGGATGTCCTCCTTTATTCTGCGAGGATATTTGTATAAAAAGATGCTTTAAATGCTAAATTTCATAAATAACAAATGTCTAATATTGAAATTGTATCCAAAGATATAAATCAATCATGCTCATTCGGCTACCTTGATATCTGTTATCAAAGTACGTTTATATCAACAATAGTCTTCTTACCTTTATTGCTTCAGAAGCTGCAACTATTGATGACTTCAGCATAGAATAGCTTTTGTCCTTCACAAGTTGTTCTCGTTTCATAGAATAATTTTTTTCTATTGCGTTTTCAAGCCTTCCAAAGGCCTCTATGGTATTTCCGTTTCTCTGTGAATGGTTAAAACATACAAATCATGGCCGATATGTCATCATTATGTTTATTCTATATAAAAGGTGATGATGTGAATCCATAGTTTTACAACAAAACCCTTTATTGAAAACTATAATTGTTGAACTATTATTTTATACATGTATCTTAATTACAGTAATAATATTTACTGAAAATGGCAGAGTAGTGCAAAAAACATACCGATTTAAAGAAAATAGATGCTTGTCAATGAAAAGCACAGTTCTTTCGTAATCAGAATTAGTGCATTCATGCATTTATATTATCTTATAATTGTTTAATTTTTGGCTGTTTTTGTTTTGTTTTTCTCCAAGAAGAACGCCTTGCTCAAATATCTTTAGGAAATGTAATAGTAATTATATATAGATATCACTTTTTGAAAAGTCAGCATCCACGTTCAATAAATATATATTGCGAACCAGAGCATGTTTGACTGATAAAAAATACCGACTATTAGTTTCCGTGTAAATGAATATAGAAATACAAAGTTATCTAGAGAATGTGTAATAACGTCAGTTGAAATTAAAGAAGTAATAATTAACACTCACAAAAACAAAACGAATGGTGTATAGGAATTCGTTATCTGTGATCCTTAATTCACTTGAAATACGAAATTCTCAGTTGTTTAAAGCGACTTATATTACTTACTGTAGATACACATATCTTCAGGCCATCCCAAACTAATTTAACCTCCCTTTTTCCTAAGAAGTTTGGTTTCCCCATTAAATATTTTTCCAATGCATCGACTTCAGGAGGGAGGACATTGCTATGAATACACAAAAGAAATTTGATATATAGATATATTCATAACTAAGTTCCATGCTTAAGATGTAATCATATTTAAATCATAAGCTAAAACAATCATATACTTCTAAACAAGTGCAATGTATGATGTAAGTAAACGCATTCATATCAATGTAAAAAAAATATCCCAATCGGTGAAACAAGCACTACATGACATTGTAACCCGTCTAATTTGTAACGACCATGTACCTGACACAGTGATAACGTTATACGACCATGTACCTGAGACAGTGATAACGTTATACGATCATGTACTGACACACAGATAACGCTACACAACCATGTACTGACACAGTGATAACGTTATACAACCATGTACTGACACACAGATAACGTTACACCACCATGTACTGACACAATGATAACGTTATACAACCATGTACTGAAACACAAATCACGTTACACCACCATGTACTGACACACAGATAACGTTATACGACCATGTATACAACCATGTACTGAAACACAAATCACGTTACACCACCATGTACTTACACACAGATAACGTTATACAACCATGCACTGACACTCAGATAACGTTATACAACCATGTACTGACACTCAGATAACGTTATACAACCATGTACTGACACAGTGATAACGTTACACAACCATGTACTGACACAGTGACACAGTGATAACGTTATACGACCATGAACTGACACACAGATAACGTTTTACAACCATGTACTGACACACAGATAACGTTACACAACCATGTACGGACACACAGATAACGTTATACAACCATGTACTGACACACAACAGATAACGTTACACAACCATGTACTGACACAGTGATAACGTTATACAACCATGTACTGACACACAGATAACGTTATACGACCATGTACTGACACAGTGATAACGTTATACGACCATGAACTGACACACAGATAACGTTTTAGAACCATGTACTGACACACAGATAACGTTATACAACCATGCACTGACACTCAGATAACGTTATACAACCATGTACTGACACACAGATAACGTTTTAGAACCATATACTGACACACAGATAACGTTATAAAACCATGTATTGACACACAGATAACGTTATACAACCATGTACTGACACACAGATAACGTTCTACAACCATGTACTGACACAGTGATAACGTTATACGACCATGTACTCACCCAGTGATAACGTTATACGAACATGTACTGACACAGTGATAACGTTACACCACCATATACCGACACACAGATAACGTTATACGATCATGTACTGACACACAGATAACGTTATACGACCATGTACCTGACACAGTGATAACGTTACACAACCATGTACTGACACAGTGATAACGTTATACGACCATGAACTGACACACAGATAACGTTTTAGAACCATGTACTGACACACAGATAACGTTATAAAACCATGTATTGACACACAGATAACGTTATACAACCATGTAATGACACACAGATAAGGTGATACGACCATGTAATGACACACAGATAACGTGATACGACCATGTACCTGACAAAGTGATAACGTTATTCAACCATGTACTGACACACAGATAACGTTATAAAACCATGTATTGACACACAGATAACGTTATACAACCATGTAATGACACACAGATAAGGTGATACGACCATGTACTGACACACAGATAACGTGATACGACTATGTACCTGACACAGTGATAACGTTATTCAACCATGTACTGACACACAGATAACGTTATAAAACCATGTATTGACACACAGATAACGTTATACAACCATGTAATGACACACAGATAAGGTGATACGACCATGTACTGACACACAGATAACGTGATACGATGACACACAGATAACGTTATACGACCATGTACCTGACACAGTGATAACGTTACACAACCATGTACTGACACACAGATAACGTTTTAGAACCATGTACTGACACACAGATAACGTTATAAAACCATGTATTGACACACATATAACGTTATACAACCATGTACTGACACACAGATAAGGTGATACGTCAATGTACTGACACACAGATAACGTGATACGACCATGAACGTTATACAACCATGTACTGACACACAGATAAGGTGATACGCCCATGTACTGACACACAGATAACGTGATACGATGACACACAGATAACGTTATACGACCATGTACTGGACACAGTAATAACGTTATACGATCATGTACTGACACACAGATAACGTTATACGACCATGTTCCTGACACAGTGATAACGTTACACAACCATGTACTGACACACAGATAACGTTATACAACCATGTACTGACACACAGATAAGGTGATACGACCATGTACTGACACACAGATAACGTGATACGACCATGTACCTGACACAGTGATAACGTTATTCAACCATGTACTGACACACAGATAACGTTATACGACCATGTACCTGACACAGTGATAACGTTATACAACCATGTACTGACACACAGATAACGTTTTAGAACCATGTACTGACACACAGATAACGTTATACAACTATGTACTGACACACAGATAACGTTATACAACCATGTACTGACACTGTGATAACGTTATACAACCATGTACTGACACACAAATCACGTTACACCACCATATACTGACACAGTGCTAACGTTACACAACGCTGTACTGACACACAGATAACGTTATACGACCATGTAACGACACACAGATAACGTTACACCACCATGTACTGACACAGTGATAACGTTATACGACCATGCACTGACACACAGATAACGTTATACAACCATGTACTGACACTCAGATAACGTTATACAACCATGTACTGACACACACATAACGTTATACAACCATGTACTGACACACAGATAATGTGGTACGACCATGTACTGACACACAGATAACGTGATACCACAACCATGTACTGACACACAGATAACGTTATACTGTATAACCATGTACTGACACACAGATAACGTTACACCACCATGTACTGACACACAGATAACGTTATACGACCGTGTACTGACACAGTGATAACGTTATACAACCATGTACTGACACAGTGATAACGTTATACAACCATCTACTGACACACAAATAACGTTATACAACCATGTACTGACACAGTGATAACGTTATATGACCATGTACTGACACAGTAATAACGTTATACGAACATGTACTGACACAGTGATAACGTTATACGACCATGAACTGACACACAGATAACGTTTTAGAACCATGTACTGACACGCAGATAACGTTATACAACTATGTACTGACACACAGATAACGTTATACAACTATGTACTGACACACAAATAACGTTATACAACCATGTACTGACACAGTGATAACGTTACACAACCATCCATGTACTGACACTGTGATAACGTTATACAACAATGTACTGACACACAGATAACGTTATACAACCATGTACTGACACACATATAACGTTATACGACCATGTACTGACACACAGATAACGTGATACGACCATGTACCTGACACAGTGATAACGTTCCACAACCATGTACTGACACACAAATAACGTTATACGACCATGTACCTGACACAGTGATACCGTTACACAACCATGTACTGACACACAAATAACGTTATACGACCATGTACCTGACACAGTGATACCGTTACACAACCATGTACTGACACACAAATAACGTTATACGACCATGTACCTGACACAGTGATACCGTTACACAACCATGTACTGACACACAAATAACGTTATACGACCATGTACCTGACACAGTGATACCGTTACACAACCATGTACTGACACACAAATAACGTTATACGACCATGTACCTGACACAGTGATAACGTTATACAAACATGTACTGACACACAGATAACGTTTTAGAACCATGTACTGACACGCAGATAACGTTATACAACTATGTACTGACACACAAATAACGTTATACAACCATGTACTGACACAGTGATAACGTTACACAACCATGTACTGACACAAAGATAACGTTATACAACCATGTACTGACACACAGATAATGTGGTACGACCATGTACTGACACACAGATAACGTGATACCACAACCATGTACTGACACACAGATAACGTTATACGACCATGTACTGACACACAGATAACGTTATACAACCATGTACTGACACACAGATAATGTGATACGACCATGTACTGACACACAGATAACGTG